TGTTGTTGTTTTTGTTTTTTTTGTTTTTTTTGGGGGGGGGTGGAAAATGGAAATGAGAAACATGAATTCCAAGTACTATCATTAATATGAATCTTGTTTTTATTATATTACATTATTATTATTATCATTGTGCCTAGGTGCTGCAGTCTTCAAAAGCTATCTTAATCGACTGGACAACAACCACTCAGCAAGTGAAAAAGCATTTACTGCGGACGGGTGGTTCAAAACAGAGGACGATGGATATGTAGATGATGAGGGGAATGTCTATGTTCTTGGAAGGAAGAATGACGTCATCATGTACGGTGCCTACGTTCTGTACCCCACATGGTTGGAAGAGAAAATAGCTAAACACCCGGATGTGATGGAGGCCTGTGTAGTTCCGGTTAGTTTCGTCTTGTGTGTGTGTGTGTGTGTGTGTGTGTGTGTGTGTGTGTGTGTGTGTGTGTGCGTGTGTGTGCGCATGTGTGTGGGGGGTGTGCTCCTTTTCTTAAGATTTAGTAAAAGTTTTTCGGTACTTGCAACACAATAAGGTTTTATATGTGCCGAAGATAAGATGTGTTACAAGACAGCCCTAGCTACGCAAGAAATCTTATTGATGCTATCATAAACGTCTACTGAGAGCTCAGTTTCCTTCCACTGTCTCTGAGCTTGTGGTTGTTCTTGTAGTTTTAAAGTGGGACACTTCTACGACAAACACGTCGATTTTTTTAAAAGTGTTTTTATCTTTAGGTTCCGGATCCTGTGAAGCTCCATGAAATCTGTGCATGCGTCAAGACCGACCCCGGAAGTGACCTCACAGAGGAAGAACTACGCCAGTTTTGTGAGAAACTGTTTGTGGTTGAATCGGAGTCCACTCCATCGCCTAAATATTTCATTGTGAGTTAGTCAAGATTTAAGCAATCACTTTCTGTTATAGCTACTTGTAATGTAGGTGTTTTACGCCACCCTCAACATAATTTAGATTATTTAGAAGACGGCCTTCCGCCCAGGCTAAAAGGGATACAAACATAATTTCGAAAAGAACGAGCTACTCGATAAAAATCCTTCCCTTTAAGGGAATCGAACTCAGGTGTTTGTGTGCTGCTGAGAAACGCCTCACCGCTGCACCTCAGAAACCAGTTTGGGAACGTTTGTGCCTTCGTGTGCAAACGAGAAAATTGAACAGGAAGCTGTTGACCACGGTGATAGCAAGGACGAACAAAAAGGAAAGATGGGAATTTGGGAAGTAGAAGTAGAGGGAAACAACAAACAAACAAAAAAGGAAAAGATAAAGATGAGGAAGAGGAAATGAAACGCTAAAAACAAGAGTGTACATGGAAAGGGTCGGACAGGATGGTGGAGAAAACGGAGGGGGGGGGGATTGAAAATATACCTAGATACCTCTGGGAGTGTCATCTGTGGCTCAGAAGTTGACGTACAATGACACCCGCCATTGCTTTCGGTCTCTAGATGCCGTCTTGCACCCTGTCTTACTTAGGTCAGCCCATGCCTTGATGTTGTCGGTGCACATTATTCGTTATCTTCCCTTTCCCCTCTTGCCTCTTATCTTGCCTTCAAGTATTTACTTCTTAATGACCTGACGGTGTTGTACATGACCAAAAGTATTGTATTTTATCATTGCCTCGGAAACAGAAACGTTATAAAAAAAACTATGTTTTCCGGTTGTTGTTGTTTTTTTCAGATCATGGGCTCAGAGTTCCCGCAGACGGCATCGGGCAAGACTGACAGACAAGTCCTCAAACGACTGGCTTCGGAAAAGTTTGCGTCATAAGAACAGATGACTGATTGCCTCTCCAAGGACGAAGTGGAAACATGAAATGTTAGATCAGCAGAAGACCACGGGCACATTTCCAGCCTTTTTCGAGCCATTAAACACTGATCAGAGACACGAGATTTGAATATTTCACAGTATGCATGTTTTTGCCTTCCTTTTTAAGTTCTAGTTTTAAAAGCACTGTGTTTAAAACCTGTATGAATAACGAAAAACGTGCTTCTTTGTTTAAAATGCCCAAACCTGAGCGTCTTCAAGGAGTTGAAAGACAGATGTGTAAAGTCTTTCCTGAACATGAAAGGATGCACCTATCATAATCAAGTGCCCCAGATCTGAAGCAGACAGCAGCAGTCATTGTTCGCCTGGGCCCGTCCACTTATGTTTTTCGCTCGATTGCTGTTTAATAAATAGAATATACTAGCTGGGCCCCCTTTCGATGAAAGGAATGATCGGTGCATTAACATCAACTGAATATCATTGGTCTACTATATTTACACTCTACTGGAATAGAGCTATAAATCTTGACAGAAAAGTTACACATGTGTTTCCAAGTTGCCAAATATATAATAGATATATAGATTGATTCTCTATTCCACTTTCGTGGTTATACAGAAGTGTGTTGATTGTTTCCAGTAGCAAGAAAAAGAATTTGACGAAGGAGTCCAGAAAAAGCGATGATGGGCATCAAACGAAAGGATCACGTCGAATTTAGCACCAAGTAAAAAAAGAAAACAATAGGCTAGATCTATACGGGTCGCACACTTAAAATAGTGCTCAGTATTGCGCGATAATGCGCGATAGTGTCGAACAGAAGTACGACTTGAAATAAACAAACCTGGCGGATTTTCTAAAATTACAGAGACAGAAGCATCGGCCTACAAAAGCGATCGGCGAATTAAAGAAATTTAGCTTTTTGCAGCAAAACTGTCAAAACTGAAAAACGAAGGGCGTCATGATCTGGAGAATATTTTAAAGAATCTTTTGGCGAAAACCGCATGTCGAACGATGCAGCCATTAAAAAGCCTTTTGAACAGCAACATTCAGCCACCCAAATAGATCATAGATATTATAACTGAAATCATGGTCTGTCTTTGTTGCCTTCCCGTTAAAATTCTGCCAGTTGTTCATGGTCTTTATTTGCTTCTATGTGCTGTCTATTTTTGTTGCGTTTTCCCATCTGCAAAAACATGTGCTGTTGTATTCATGGAAATCAGCCATTTAACTAACGTATTTATGCACCAGCACAGAAGTGCATATAACAACTCCAACGTCTCGCCCCTTAAAAGACAGTGAACCCCCTGGTGTCTACTTGAACTCTAGCAGGCCAATGTGTTCTTGTATCGCTTTTAGATTTTTTTCTTAAATAGAAATTATGGTCTTGTATATCTTTCCTCCGATTCATATGGGAGTTTTTGTTTTAATCGGCGTAAACATTGCATACTAGCTGGCAGAGCTCAAAGCCTTTACTGCGATGACGTAATGTTATTGAAGTACACAACTTTACTTGAAACTATCAAGGCCGTTTTGAAAGCAGAGAACATAAAGACCAGCTCCAGCATACTGGGACGAAAAAGAAAGTACTGTGACCATAGTGCATGTTAAGATGAAGGGGAAAAACACGTCCTGGGCTTCAAACTTTGAATTCGTGCCTGCATTGCCAAGTTCATGTGTAGAGATGAATCTAGCATGAAGCACGACTATAATGTCTCTGAAAAAGCATACTCAATGTTATCCGACATTTGATTTCCAGTTATGACATTCAAAATTGGGGGGGGGGGGGTTGATTTGGGGAGCGGAGACTTAATCATCGGTTTTCGCTACTTTGGTATAGATACTAGATGTGGAGAGAAACGTTATTTCTTCTAACTTCTGCGGGCTCCGTTTTTCAACTTTCATGGTACTGTTGCCATTTTGAACATTTAACCATCTCTGTCAAGGGCTCAGGAATGTCTCACACAATTCCTAAAGTTGTATTGAATAGTTATTGTACATTTGTATATCTATATATTTTTTGGATGTTATTTTCTCCTAGAATATTTGTAAACTTTTCCCCACAAATTGACAGATTAAAACCAGATCCAAAATAAATTCCGTGGCACATTAATCAAATTCCCTTACGGACATTATTACAAAAGTGTGGTAGTGCACTGCAGTTAATGATCACCACTTCTGGAATGTGCAGTTATTTAGAAACGAGCCCTTACTGCGTGGTAGGTATAGTGATTATGCTCTAAAACACGCAATCGTAAGATCGTGGGTTCGAATCCTATCTGGGACCCGAAGTTGTGTCCTTTGGAAAGACAATTTACACGAATTTTCCTCACTTCCTCCTGGTGGAAATGGGTACTCGCTTATAGACAGCGAAAGATCTTGTCAGTTTTTTAGCGTTTGAACGCAGCTTCCACTGTGTGCTTCCCTGGAAGTCGAGAATGTTTCTGGGTGCTCTTGGGTCTGCTGGGGTAATAATACATGTAGTTGTAAAGCGCACAGAGTGGGCTGTAGAACGTGGATACGTGCTGTAAAAATTCCGCCACGAAAAAAAGCCCAATCAAAGTATACAAACGCCTATTTGGGATTTTAACATTGACTTAGCACCTTAGCCAAGTGAGGTGCCAACTGAGCTTCCATCGCCTCCTGGAATATATCACAAACAAAGAAAGACTTTTTTAGGATATTGAATATCACAGTGTGGCTTTAATGTGGTATGAGAGGCTCAGATACTATTACATTTAGCTATGTAGAATTATAAATCTTGATAGAGAAATGGGTTAATACAAAATGTTAAATGCACTTTTAAAATTAAATATAGTCTAATTTTTAACTCTAAACGATGAAAAAATTTAGATCATGAAAAACATAATTGTTAAAAGAATTAAACGCCCCCCGCCACCACACAT